GTTTCGGATTATTAGTCTTCATATAAAATATTTTGGATAATAAAAGGCATATAAAGTAGAAGTGCTTATGCGTTTAAAAAGTTTTGAAATTATATTAAAAGACGTATGTATATATCTTAGATTTTATACAAATGTATCGATGATAAATACGACTGATGGATAATTAATAGATTTCGAAGTCATTTTTTAAATTTAGTCGCATTTTGCCAAAATGTCATGCTGTTAGTAAGTAAATAAATTATCTATCTGCTATAAGAACGTAAAGTCCTTTATTTGACAATAATTTCAACGGTATATACATATATGATATACATCTTCATAAAGATAATTTACAATTGAACATGTATGATTCGACTATGTATATATATTTTCATTTTCTAAGAACAAGAAGATATTGTATTTTTGAAAATATTTATTATAGTATTATAGATTTTACTACTAGTGGCGTTAAACCTACAACTACAATTAGGGCTGTATTAATCTTCGTGCCAAAAACAATACTATACATATATAAAAAAATATATATACGATATGTATATAAATATATTAAGATAAAAATTATTATAAACATTCACGCAATATAAATTTAAATAAATAGAAATAATATCATAGAGGAAAAATATAATTACTCTTATCCTTTCTCAAATCTTAATCACTTAAAAATACGTCGTTGTTGTGTTATACGTAGGTGAAATATACTAGAGGAATGGTTCGACATTGGGAAGCTCAATCAGATTCCGGAAACACAAAAAAGTGCAGGACTTATATAATTAGAATAATTTTCGTGTTATTTTCACACTCCTACTTAATTAACATTGATCATGTAATTTCTCATAATATATGTAGACAATGACGATAACATTAGGAAAGAGAGAAATATTGTGTTTTGTGTAAAATATACACTATCTATAATGCAACGGATACGGTATTGATTAGTAGCGAATAGGCGAGTTAGTGCGAAGACTTATTGTCGGCGCCTGCAATAGAAAGGGAAGTTAGCATCTAAAAGCCCCAGCACAAAAGCTACTGTTTAATATACTCGAGCAAGATTCTCAAAGAAAGCCGCAAATTTTACATTTACGATTGTATACCACTTTTACATCGTTATTGTTGTATCATTATATTTCGAACACACAATCAACAAGGAGCGTTATTGTGCGGCATAAAATTTGTACGTAGATTAGCTTAGAAAGAATTGCGATCAATAGAACGTTAAAATCGCGATATACGATTTGAAAGGTTTTTTTTCTGATTTAATTAGAATTTTCGTAGAATTTTTTAAGTTCTATGTACTAAAAAATTATATTGTACTCACGATGGTATCATAGGTGGAGGTAGGCCAGGATTAGCTCGCGTTGGTGGTGGTCCGCCTGGACCAGGTCTATTAGGAATGGCTGGTGCTGGCCGGCCGCTTCCAGGTACTGGTGGTGGTGCTCGAGAGCTAGAAATAGGTGGTGGCTGTGTCACTCCACGTCTTGGACCACCAGGAGATGGTGGCGATAATCTAAAATGTATAATACATTTACAATCAGTTTTAATCAACTTCTGTATCATTTGAGTGCTTCAAACATGTTCATCCAAAACAAAAAGAAAGATTCAAATAATATATACAAACAAGTTAACGCATAAAATCTTCGAATGTATAACATAGTCTATATAATTTTTTAATATTATTATTCAAAGATATAAACAATAAAATAGTTGAAATTGAAGATATGAAATATTGATTGATTAAATTGATGTTGATAAATGATTAAATTCTAATGGTATTCTAATCTAGCTTAATATTTTTATAAGAATATCAGTACTCAGAAAAATCTACTAATAAGAAAAGCATGCGCAATAAGAACGTGATGTTTTGTACAACAAAATGATCGCATTTTTCTTCTCGATAATACAATTAATTAGAAAAAAATAAAGATAAATACGTCATATGTAAAAAATCTTACCCAAGACTGTTTCAACGGTGTTCAAATGTATGGCAAAGCAGACGGTACAAAATGTAAGGATGATAAATTAGTAAAATGCGCGATAGACCATTTTAGGAATAACATAAGGGTTACCTTGGGTTGTCGCCGGATATCAGCCAATCGTTCTTCACGGGTGGTGGTACTGGAGTTGAAACTGTGGCCATAGAGACATCTCCAATGATGCGAAGAGCTTCTTTGCATGCATGATACATGCGTAACATTTCCTCTCGTTTCTGCGCTTCTTCAGGAGATTCTTCCATCATTGAAGCCTATAATTGTATATATGCTTTATAAATGTTTTTCAGATAAAAATATAAAAATATAAAAACGTATAGAAAAAAATCAGATACATAAATGCTAGAACCAGGGTTGAGAAGCAACTAGTTTGTAAGTTAAAGTTACTTTCAATCTTTAACTTAACTTTGTTCTATTTTTTCCAGTTGTAACTGTAACTTAGTTACATTTCTTTTAGTAACAATTAACTAATTTGAGTTACTTTTACAGCTACTTTGCACATTTTAAACTAATTTGTCAATTTAATGTAATAACTGATTAGAATCTGAATAGTTGCGTTACTGCCGCTGGTTGCGTAGAAGACAAACGCAACGTTCAGAAGACAAACAGTAATTTAATTTTGCTTATTGTTAATATTCACTGTAAATCCTTTATTTCTCATAAGCTAATTATCTATAAGAATATTACATTAATAATTTGACAATTTAATCTTGCTTATTATCAATATCTAATGTACAAACCTTATCCCTGAAGGGCCGTTTACAATAAAAGTAATATGATATAGTAGGTTATAAACCGTGAGAAAGTGACATTACAATCGAATGTGAAAAGAATAATCGATTATGATTGATCAATTTTTTACAGCTTACTACTTATTACTCTCATTGTAGACGGTCCATAAAAACAAATTATCTGTATAAATATCGTAAGATAGATGTAAGCAATAAACAAAGCGACAATCACAGTAGAAAATATAAAATTACCGTCTTACATTTTTTACTATGATTTGACCGATTCGCTTACTGCTTACATCTTACTGCCTTACGTTTTTCTACCCATTTCTAGCTTAACAATTTCTATTTCTTAAATAAAATTATATAACATGTAAAAACGTAAATCAATTTTTCTCTCTAGTTCTAGCAATATCAAAATATTATCTACATTGTTCTGTAATCATAACAAAAAATAACTAAAAAATAATAGAAAAGTTATTTTTTAAGTAACTGCAACTTGTTATTTTTTAGAGTTGATATCTTGTAACGGTAATTAATTATTTTTACAAAATAACTTTGCCAATCTTGGCAAGAACAATATTCAAAATTTTAATATAGTCAAAAGTAAAATTAAATTTATTGTATTTAAAAATGATAAACATATTTTTCTTGATCCAAATGCTCGAAAAAAAGAAGGATGAAAGGAAAAGCAAAGTGCACTTACAGGATTATTAAATATTGTCAGATTATTTATTTCATCATTGGTTGATTAGGAAATATTAATTGTGGGAAAAATTAATTTATAAAATCTTTAATAATAAAATCATAAAAATGTACAAAAAACAATGGGCATTAGGAGTCAGCGCTGGAAATCAATTGCGCAAAAAAACTATAGAGATAACGAAAATTTTGTACGTTTCGGCACCGTTTTAAGCTATTTTCAGCACAATAATAATAAATAATAAATAATTAAACCACAATATCGTGGAAACGCATTTCCATTATGATAACTGATAACTCCGTCTTTGCAGATCACAATTTGAAGCGCAACGTATTATGTTACAATATATAGAAATAAATTATAGACATATTACTTTAAGATACTATCCATGTGGAAGTCAAATATGTAATGTTACATAAAGTCAATTAAAGAAATTTTTTATCAACAAGTACAGTAATGTAAAATTATAGTAAATATATTTTATGAATTGTACTTCAAGTACCGCGCTGTGTATGCTCTCATTGCCTGCTAATTAATATTTATTATTATTTAATTTATTATTTATTATTTATTGTGCTGAATACCAAACGGAGTCGAAACGTACAAAATTTTTGTTATTTATAGTTTTTTTGCGCAATTAATTTCCAACACTGACTTCTAATACCCATTGTTTTTTGTACATTTTATGATTTTATTATTAAGGAGTCTTTATTAATCGATTCATTGAAATTATTGTATATAACTTTAATATTATATAAAATCTTAAAAAAAAAAAATGGATTTTGCAATGACTGTCGTATAAAAACGCAATACATATCATATTAACATAATGTTTTACCTGATCGCCACTTGCGTAAAGATGTGCCAACAGTTCCCCATTGATGAAATCCTTACCGTTATTAATAATAAGATGCATAATTGTCTTTGGAACCAGGTCGCGAGTAGTTTTCGTGACAATCTTCATATAAGAATCTACTAAGTTTCTAATAGTTTCCACTTGACGCTCTAGTTGGGGATCCATTGATGATTGACCCTCTGAACCGCCCTAAAGGAACAAAAATAATATCAATACATTTCCAACATTCAATATCCCATAAAAGAGGTATCATTTTTGGGATGACTGACAAAATACTTTTATTATCCCATCCACACTACCATAAAAAAAAATATAGAAGCTATTAAAATTTTATTGGTATAAAATATAGTTACCTTCTTCCTTTCATTTTTTCTAATATCCATAATATACCAGACTAAAATATTTATCCATAAACCTGATTTATACGAACATTTTACCTCGAATTTAATAAGTATTAAAAATAAATTTTTTACAATACCTTATGTTAAGACCATCTCTGAAAGTTTTGTACCGATAGCACGAAAAGCTGTTAAAAAAATAGTATATTCCATTCCAAACACCTCAAAAAGATTTATAAAAAGAGGAAAAGATGAATTATATCCAAAGATGCACGACGTGGCTTATAAGATAACTTGTCATGATTGCATCTTATATTGGCTAAACTAAAAGACAGTTGGATACTAGAGTAAAAGAACATATTTCAGACATCAATAAAAAAAATAAATCTCCTTCTGTCGTTTCTAGTCATAGATTACAGTACAATCATGAATTTAATTGGAATGAAAAGTTAAAATATTGATAATGAAACATCGTATACAAAAAGATCAGTTTCAGAGATGATCTACATAAAAAAACAATATGGCTTAAATAAACAAAGCGATACCAAATTACTCTCAGATTCATATCTACCGATCTTTGACTTGTTATCCTCTTCCTGATTCTAGTCCTCCAGCCATTTCTTTTTTCCCCCGTTCCATCAAAATTAATCCCTCCCCCCCCTTTGTGGTTTTTCCTTGTCGATTCATATCAGTCATTTTCATTTGAAATGTATCTGTCAAACTGTCTACTTGAGATTTATTTCTTTGTCAATGTATGCTTGTTTCCTCCTCAAGTATGCATTTACTTATTGCTAATATTGTAAAATTATTGGTTTAAAAACTTTTTTACATTATTGCAATATTGGTTTTTGTAATAGACATTAATTAATGTTAAGTCAATTGAGGAGAACAAAATGGATATATAGCTCGTTCACATTAGCCACGAAAATCTGAGATTTACCATGACTGATTTGATGTATGCACACTGAAGATGACTCGATGTGAGTCGAAACGTTTGTAACTTTGAAAAATATATTTTATTGTTAAATTTATAGTACGACAATCCTTCTTGGCTCGTAGTCCTTTTGAATTATTTCGTTTTTTAAATTTCTGAGCCTATAATATATTGATTTCTTAAAAATAATACCGTTTAAATTTTGTATATTGTATTTATATTTTCAAACGATTTAATTACTAAGGCATATATTCAAAAGGCAAATATCAGATAACATTGGCAGCATTATTAATGTAACAAGTATTGAGCAAATATAGGAATATAATCGAAATATAGAATAACATTCTATAATGTTAGATTTTTCTGCAATAAAGTGTGCTTGATTGTAGAGGTGTCCGGTGCTTATATGTAAGTGTCGTGTGCTTTGTAATTGAAAACACGATTGTACCAACCTCATATCCTTCCTTTTTAGTGGATTCAAATATGAGACAAAAAAGAGAACGGTTTCTATTATGCACTCAATACAAAAGATTATATTATTTTAGTTTTATTTTAGAAACGTATATAAAAACCAATGTATTCCATATAAACATCTCAAACACAGTCTGTAGTATTCATAAGACAATAGAAAATTTAATATTAATTTTACACTTTATCCAGCGCATGTAATATTGTAGCAATCGTGCAATAATATTACAAATTTGCTGTAATATTGCATGGTAATAAGTTAATAATATTGTATAAATATCGACGCAATATTAAGTGTCCGCCGTAAAATCATCGTAGAAATATTTCTGCGATATTTGTGTAATATTATTGTTAATATTAGGCAATATTTCAACATATTATGCTAATTTTGCAATATTGCGATAGTATTTCTATGTACTGTAGTAATACTGCAGTAATATTACATAGTATAAATATTGTTATAATAATAAATGTCCGCAAAAAATTCATCGCAGGAATATTTCTGTGATATTTCTGCAGTATTGCTGCAACATTATGATATATTACAATAATTAATTCAGTTTTATTAATTGTTAAGTATTATTGTTTAATATTACACTCTAAAGTGCGTATGATAAAGTTATGATAAAAAAACATTCGAAGACTCTTCTTACGAGTAGCCTCTTGTGGCCGCGTACTTATTTCTTCAGCATAAAATATTGCAACAGTATTGCAGCAATATTTCAATAATGTACAATATTACAAAAATTGCAGCGATATTGCTGCATTATTAAAATTATAATATTTTATTGAAAATATAATTGCTACAATATTGCAAAATATTGTAATTTTAACCTTTATCCTACAAGTATGGGTCACTAATGACCAAGCGATTTCCTGTTCGTGCAAGTTTCTTGCAACTCGATAAATCCGCTTGTTATCTCCCAGTAAAAAAAGTTTGTGGTGGGAGAGACCTGTGCGCGGCGGGGCGACTTCGGCCGTCAATCTACCTGTGACTGGCGTGCAGTTCAAGTTGACCTGAGATGCTAGTGACTCACGTAAGTATACAAAGGATGCTTTTTGTGAAAAATAAAAATTGTATCAAAATCATTATGAGTATTCTATTTTCACTCTAAATTATTGTCTGAATGTTTGTTTTCATTAAAAAAATTATTTTCTAAAAGAATTATTTATTTTTTGAAGACAAAATGGAGTTGGAGAGGCGAGTCACGCTTTTCTTTACATATTTATCTAAATATGTGTTTACATTTTTCTTTCTTCATTAAAAAATACATTTTACAACAAAATAAAAAAATGTATATTTTAACTTAATTTTTTCTATTTGTCCCTTGTTAAAAATTATTCATATTCATGAGCTCAAATAATTCAACTTTTTGTAGAATTTGAAGTTCTAGTATTTTTTGTTTTCAAAACTTCATATCTAAACTACAAAACCATGGAGTCATTTTTTTATATTCATTTATTATGAAAAGTTATAATTTTTTAAATCAAATGCCACTTTTTCCCAACTTATGAGTCTTACGGTAATTATAAATTATATTATACTATTTTATTATTTTCCAAAATGAAATTCTAGTATTTATTGTAGAAAGTGGAATATATGTTGGTGAATTTTTAGAGATTTTTTGAATCATTCTGCATAGATGAAAAAACGAACGGATTCTAGTGACCCACGTTTGTATGATGGATGGCACCAAATTGTAGCTTGTACGGTAAGGGTTAATTTTGTAGAAAATATTGCAATAGTAAATTGCAATATTTTCTACAAAATATTTTTCAATACTGTTGTAATATATTCAATAAAATATAAAAAATTTAATATTACAGCAATACTGCTGCAATTTTTGTAATATTGCGCATTATTAAAATGTCACAATATTGCTGCAATATTTCGTACTGTAGGGATAGTCATATTTAAACCAATATATCTCAAAGACCATTGTTTAAAATAAAAATTCATAAACGTTTTACTTCATTTTTTAAACCTTCGTTACTATTATATTGTATTTTGAACGGCAAATGTTGGAACATTGACTTGTACATATATTTCCATGATGTATTATTTGGCCCCGCGCATAATAACAAAAATTAAGAACAGAAGAAAAATATTAAACATTGGACAAATAAAAAAATTGTAAATGAATATTACATATAACTGTAATAGATACAAATAAGATATAAGATACAAACAGCTTTATTTGTATCCATTGTGAGTTATGTTCAAACTATATGCCTAATATTTGTTTACATTTATATATAATACTTAATATTTATTCAACAATAAATCACAACATAGTACTATTCATATCTTAGAAAGAGGACACTGCGATAAAATGTATCGTAATATTTCAACGCTGTTGCAGTAATATTGCAATGCAATAAACTGCAATGTAATAATTGGACGATATTGCTGTAATATTACAATGCAGTATACTACATTGCAACCATTGAATAATATTGCGGTAATATTACAATGCGATATATCACATTGCAATATTTGCATAATACTGTTGCGATATGTCGTACTGCAATATTTAAATGATATTGCGGTAATACTTCAGTCCGATCTATCATATTGCAATATTTAGCAATATTACAGAAGGATATATCACATTATAATATCTCAACAAAATTATTGCAATATTACATTGTGATATATCGCAATTATAATATCTTAGTAGCATTTACGTATTATTGCATTGCAAATTATAATCTCAATATTACATGCTGTGTGGGTAATTCTATCCTAATCGCGATTATAAAAGCCAAATAAAGCCTATTTTTTAAAAGTAATTCTTTTTGTTAGTTGCACTTAACAAATGTAATTCAAACCATTATACACAACAGTTAAAGATTCAAAAACAAAAATCTCTATTTTTCATTAACTTACCTTCTGCTTATCCTAAAATAAATTGAAATAAATTCTAATAAATATAAATTAACTTGTCATAAAACAGATTTAGGAAAAAAATTTTTTTATTTAGATAAAATATTTTTGGTATTTATTTAGAATACGGTCCTCACCTCCGATTTTGATAAAATTAGGCTAATTTGACGCGTTTTTACACGAAACGAAAGAATCTGTAAGAAAAACCGTGGGGCCGTGGGGTCGGCCTCGAACCGAGATATTAAGCATTAAGCTGATTCTACAATGTAGTCGATAGTTCTAGAGATCCTATAATCAGAGTTTGGCGAAAGCGGACACAACTTCTGATTGGTTCTTCACTTTGGTCCACTCGGTATTCTTCGGATAGCTTGTACATTGGCTTTGTACATTGTCAGAAAACGAGTGTGAAAAAAAGAAAGAGATAGATAGTTACAAGTAAATAAGTAAAACCTGTATCAAAGAGGTTAGAAATCATTCCGAGATTTCGGGCAAAAAGAAAATTAACAAATTATAATTGCACAATTCGGCCAATTGATCAACTCGATTAGTTTCTCCAGGTATTGTCGTCACGTTTTGCCTATCACGTATTCTAACACTTTTTGCACAAGTATTCATACGAGAAAGCAATGGCCTAGTTTACACCCTACGTTTAGGCCGCCACCTATACTCTAAATCTAACCTAAACACGACAGTAAATACTTATAACCTCGCTTAGAGGTTATCGCTCAAACGCATTCATCTGTCCTTATCTGACATATTGTAACCTCTTTTTCAAGATCCCTGACCTCTCTTAAGCTGGAAACACAATAGACACAGGCAATAGGCACAGGCAACAGGGAATAACGAGGAAATTTTGTTTTTGAGTCCAATCAGAGCTCTGGGATATAACATCGAACTTATACCCCAAAGCTCTGATTGGACGGCTCGTTATTTCCTGTTGCCTGTGTCTATTGTGTTTCCAGCTTTAGGCTACACGACCTACCTAGCTTTAACGCTTGTAAACGCAGGCAGACGGCCTAAAGGCGTAAAGTGTACTAAGAAACTAATAGATGATTCTATTTCATGTTTTGTAATGTGCAATAAGCTGTGTACGTAGAAATAGATTTTAT